GGGTTTCAGCAGCAAGAAAAGAGCAGGCAGCTTGGCAGGCCTCCATCATCTCCAGCACTCACCTGCCTTGCCAATTCCTCTGCTTCCTGTAGCCATTGGCTGAACTCCTGTTCTTGGCCTGCGGCCTTCTCCTGTTACCCATGAGACTGGCACTTGAGGCACTGAGGCACGTTAGGAGGAAGTCTAGAACAACATGACAGAGGAGAATTCCACAGAACCTGCACTTTGGATCGTTTGCCTGTTTGGTGCGTGCAGCTGTCCACAGCAGACGTGGAGTTTGTGGTTCAGTGAGCTATACGGTCTAGAAAAGAAAAGACTAAGCTCAGGAAAACCAGGATCAATTCACTCAGCTCCTGCAGGCCAAAAATGAGAGAGCAACAAATGACTGAAAAATGCAGTACTACTATGTAGCACGTATCCAGCGTGGACATGGCAGAGATTTCAAACCCACATCCATGGAGGAATCTGACCTGGCAGGTTTCCCACAAGCCAAAGGGAGTGGTTTTTTGCAAAGGCACCAGGAGCTCAGTGTGGGACAGAGAACTTTGTCAAGAGAAGGGCTGACCTGGGAGCTGGTGGAAGTGGAGAGAACAGGCATGGGTGCACCCACACTGTGAGGGCTGCCCCAAGGGCCCCCCCGGCCATGCACAGGACGTGGGCACTGCCCCGTGCAGAGGACGTGTCCCTGCCGTATTGCCATCATCAACATTGCTCCAGTGTCATGCAAACACATATGGGCAATTTGTTCCTTGGCATCTGTTCCCCACTAAAAAATCGTTCTTCCTTCAGTGAGCCCTACAATTTGCTGGTTGATGTTAGGCATGCAGTAAATGGGCAGGAATGACAGGCATTCCAATTTAGGGAACTAGTTTTAGTCAGAAACAATGGTGGCCAAGGTACAAGGCATGTGGGCTTGGTGCCTGTTCTGCGTTCCTCTTGGATACTTTGAGCTACGGGTTGTGCATTGCAAGCAGGTTTTGCTTTGCTTTGGGACAGTGCGTGCCCTGTCAAAGGAGTCCTTTTTGTCGCCTGATGCTGTTAAGGCTGTGAACAAATGCAAGCATCCTTTTGCTGCGTCCACCCCTCAAACCCACAGGTGTTCCCAGTGGAGCCTGGCCAGCTGGGCAGTTGGGGTGAGGCGGGCAGAAGGAAGGGTTTCTCCTGGAATCCCGGAGGGCCTGGAGAAGCCCCACGTGAGTCCAAAGATGAGCTAGTCCCACAAGCGAAGAAAGAGGCGCTCTCTCTTCAGGATTGGTTCCAAGGTTTTTTAATGTCGCCTCGAAGGAGTTCTGAGCGAGAGAGGCCGAGTCCCCGCCCAAACCGGACAGATATAGGGGGCGGGGAAAGCCTGACCAGCCAATGGGGGAAAGACATGGGAGTGGCTCTCTGGGGGCAAGGCCTCAGAGTGACCACTGAGGAGGGGGTGAGGGAGGGGTCCCAGCCAGGGTCCAGTTACCTGGTGACCCTGGGAGAAGGGTCTGGACAAAGGGGAGTGGTCAGCAGGTGATGGACACATCACCTGGGAGGAGACAGGGGGATGGTTGGGGTTTGATGGACATACAGGTACTGATGGGAAAACTGGGATGAACCAAATATATAGAGAGGGGATATACAGTGCAAACACAACTCTACATCCTTTTTTTCCCCCGCAGTTGTAGGGTGTGCAGGCATGTGCAGTTGTCTTAATTTTGCCTTCTTCTTATACAGTTGGCCGATTGCTGCAGGTGACCCTTTTTTCCCCCGTTTTCTTGCACAGACTGGGGACATGTGCAAGTGGGCTCTTTTTCCATTTCTGTTTCCTGGCCTGCAGACTTGAGCAGAACAGATCAAATGATGGAGTGAATCCACTGAGCAGTTGGCAGGCCTTTCTTGTTGGTGTCATCCCGCAGAGTTTCTAATGGTCTAACAGGTAAGTAAAAGATTTTTCGCTGCGCCGAAACAAAAATGACATAAAGATGATGGGTGAGGGCTTTGAGGGTTTCCAGAGCCTTCACGGTACCAGCCTCGCTGATGGCCTTGTGGTCTTTTTGCAACCCTACAGAATCCGCGTGCCCCTGGAGATCAAGATGCTGGACAAGGTGTCCACTGGTTTCCATGTTGTTGTTCAGCTCTTAGATTGGTGGCAGCTCCCTAACAACTTCTTCTTGATGATGGAGCACCCTGAGCAATCTCAGAACCTCTTTGACTTCCTTCTGCCATGGGGGCTCCATGTTGGAGGAGGTGCTGCACGACTGTTCCTCCAGATGCTGGAAGCCATGCAATATTGCAGCAGCTGTGGGGTCCTGCACCAGGATATCCAAGCAGAGACCGTCCTCATTGACCTGGCCACCAAACAGGCAAAACTGATGGACTTTGTCTGTGGCACCAACCTGCAAGACACGGTCTGCCCACACTTAGCTGGTGAGCCCACCCAGGGCTATGGTCCCGGCTGATCCCAGCATCTCATGGCCCAACCTGGCTATGGCTCCGGGGATTCCCCTGTTTGCTGCCAGTCAGGGGCACACCTATGAGCCACAGAGATCTGCCTGTACGAGACAGAAGGAAAGATCAGAGAACCATTCCACCTTCTCTCGCTGCTAAACCAGTTCTTCCCTTCCTCATAATGACAAAATGCAGATTTTCTGCGCATCAGTGGCAGCTTATTGCACCTGCAGAGCTGAGAGGCTTCTTCCCCTGCTGCTGTGCTACAGGCAGGTTTAGCAGCATTACCTAACACAGAGATCCACAGAGGGACCACAAGCAATTGACTTTGTGCCACTTAATCTCAAAGGCCACCACTCTCAGCAGACAGACAGAAGAGACTCGCGCACTCCCTGTTTGCCCTGCTGATGCACACCTGGCAGGCACAGCTTTCCCTGATGGGGGATAAGAAGAAGGGACAGCTCCCTCAAAGCCGTGCAGCCCAGAGATCTGTAGGGCACCATCAGCACCTGGCTTCATAAGTGACCAGTTCTGCTGGGATGGAAACCAACCACCATATCCTCGCTGACTTCAGCGGCGGCTGCAGCAGTGCCTGCATCTGATCCTTAGGTCTGGGCTGGACAAAGGACACACGTGGCACACCGCCCCTGAAGGATGTGACTTTGGAAACAAACACCTACCACTGTCTCCTGTTGTTGGTGGTAGGGTCACACCAGCCTGAGGCACTGGGTAGCCCTCAATGCCACCTGGGACTGCAGATGACAGGCTGGCCTCCGGGACCAAACACAGGGATGAAGTAACTCTCCAGATGGAGCTTGCAGATTGAAAAGGCTGCTGTGAGCAGGCACCTGAAAGGGCAGACAAATGAGGCCCTCCTGCACTTCAGCTGTGCCACGCAGGCACACAGCCCCAGGCAGGCACCACAGAGCACAGGGACAACAGAAAGCACAGAAAGAGGGACAAACCCAGTCAAGCACAGAGGCTTTTCATGATTGCTGAGCCCCAGACAACCCCAAGCATGCCATCACCCACCAGACCTTTTCTGTTGACAAAGAGCAGGTCCAGCGGGTGCCTTGCCCCGCTGGCCAGGGTCCTGCCAGGCCATTTCCTCTCTGCTCTCCTGTGCTGCCAGCAGACGTGCCCACCTTCTTCCTTCCACTTGCAAAGCCTCACACCTATGAGCCATGGCCAGGTGGGAGGCAGGAGCAGCCCCAGAGGAGAGGTGCCAGCTACAGCGAACAGGAACCAAAAACCTCTGAAAGCACAGCTGAAAGCCTGTATCTCCACAGGATGTTTTGGCTGCCCTGCTCTTCACTGGGAAATGCAATTGCCCTTTCTTCCTCATCCAGAAGTCCACAGCTGGGCACAAGCTAGCCAATGGGCAGCATTCCAAAGGCAGTGTAGGCTGGAGGTGATCAAGGAAGAAGACAGTTGCCAAATCCAAAAGACACCAGAATGCCCTTAAGAGGGACTTTCCATCTTTAAGAAAGAATGGCCAATTGAGAAGTCAACGTAGAGCCTTATTCCATGGCTGACAAGGAAGGGAATTGTCCAAGGGGCTTGAGGGTGTATAGGGGTTTAATTGTGAGTCCAGCTCCAAGCTGCATTTGGAGGAAGTAATCCTGAAGTGGTCCTGGTCATCTCTTCCACTTCCTCGATTGCTTCGCTGCAAGTTTCCTTTTTTTTGTGTGAAAAGACCCTTAGACTAGGGATTTAGATGGTGGGGGCCCATGTAATCTGTAGAAGGAATAACAGAAGTACAGCCATAGAAACAACAGCAGTATGAAAGCAGCCAATCAATTTCTCTGAAGTATTTTGTCTCCAATGACTGGTGACAGGTCAGGAGTCTAAAGGGAATCTAGCAAGCCAAGTGTTCTGCTCAGTTTAGCCAGACTAGCACACACACCTCCTCTGAGTCATTGAGTAGGTCGCAGTCTTCTGCTGCTCCCAAAACAATCCCTGCTTTTGTCTTTACTCTAGAGGGAAGCTCAGGCAAAGCCCACCCATGCCCAGCTGCCCTCAAAGGCAAAAGGAACTCCCCAAACGCTCCCTGCCTGCATCCAAGCACCACAGTGGCTTCTGTAGGGAGTCCAAAATTCCTCTCCCAGCACCAAAGCAAGGAGGAACATGTGCTACAGCTCTTGCTGAGGCACACACACTAGAATCCACTACTGGATCGGACAAAGAATGCACAGGACGTACTCAGCAGCTTCAGGCACCTCCTCAGCAGCCTGACAGCCAGCCCTCTCCCATAGCTCTAGCCTGGTTCTGCAGGGGCCTTCCTGTGGGACCTCCCTCCTTCTGAGAGGCAGCTCTGGGTTTCCCATTCTCTTGGGGCCTGCAATGCCATTCCTGCCTTCCTCAAACCTGCGCTCTGGTAGCCCCTCACCAGACCGGTCCCTGAAGACACAAAGCTCTCTCCAGCACTGTTTACCAAGGGCCAGCTAAGAGACCATGCCACCCAGGCAGACAGCATCCAGAGAAATAGTGCCCAGAGGAGCACAGAGGAGTCTAAAACAACACACAAACTCTCTTGTCACACTCTGTGCCTCTTGACTCTCTCTGGTTCTTATCTTTTCTCATCCAGCTTGCATGATGGCAATTGACTGATTCATCTCAAGAAACCTGTTCTCCTGCTCCTTCTGGACCTCTGCCAGGAAGTTTTCCTGTTGGGCCAGCAGCTTCTGTGCCTCCAAACACTGCCCTTCCAACTCCTGGTGAGAGGAGGAAGACATTTCCACATGAAGTGCCAGCCAAGCTCCACAGATAATCAGTGCAAGCTTCATGCCTCGCACCACCCCCCACCTGAAAAGTGCACAGCGGGAGTGACTTTGTGCCCTCCAGCAGTGCTGTCCTAATCAGAAACTCAAAAGCAGGATCAGCAGCTGGGAGAAAAGGAGATGCCACCTTTCTTTCCTGCTCTGATGGCTGCCTGTTTCCTGGCCCCTCTCCCCTCAGGATTCCTACCTGTTCGCAGAGGTTCAGTTCTCCAAGTGCTGAAGTGGTCCTTGTCCTTCTTGTCAGAAGAGGCTGAAGAGAGGCTCCGCTGACCGGAGAAATGGATGCTGCCCAAAGGGCTGCCAAAGGGAAAAAGAAACATACAAAACCAATTTAAAAGAGACAAAGGAAAAGAAACAATTCTTTTCCAAACTGAGTTCCTAACAGGGTCCAACCGGATTCCTCTAGCACCCAGAAATACACAAACATAGGACCGAGGGCACCATCAGCACGTGCGCTTTCATGTCCAGGATGCTGCTAGCATGGGAAAACATGGCCCAGAACTGTGCTAGTCCATTCCTCAAGGTGTCATCACTTGCTGCAATTTTTGTCCTGACAGCACTGTGGGATTGCTGCTTGCTGTCCAAAGGCTTTGTTCCTTTCAGGAAACTCAACAGACTTATTCCAGCTCCTCTTTTCTACAGAGGTGGGCTATTGGAGTGTCCAAAAGAGATGTGGGGCATAAGACATTCCTCAGGAGACTCCCAAGAGCTCTGAAGAATATTGATCCCACGTGTTGTTCTCAGGACCGCTGGACACGCAGGTTTTCAGCAGCAAGCCAGGAGCAAGGACACAAGCAGCAGGGCGCAGATGTGCTCAGCTCCAGCTTGCAGGAAGAGTACGCTCTGCCTTGGCATGGTCCCCCTCCCTCTTGTGCTGGCCGGCATCTTCCTTCTCAGCAGGAACAGCCAAGGAAGTGGCCTGGTCACCAGCTCCTCGTCTGCCACAAAACCGGGCGGCAAAGCCGCAGCGATTCTCATCTACGTGACCGGGCCAGGCAGCACATGGGGCTGGCACAGCTCCTGCTCAGCTGGCCCTGTTTGGCTGGCAGAAACCAGAGGCAGAAACCTCTAATAGTGGGGTGGGAGGGAGCAGCTGAGTGCCCTGGGATGCTGACAGCTCCCCCACAGCCCCCACCTTCCCACGGACCAATCCAGAACCGCTTATCAGGGACGACTTCCGGTGTGTTCTTCAAGCCCCTGTCCCCAGCACTGCAATGCTTATGTTCCTTTGCTACCAGGTAAACCTGAATACACCAGCTGAGAGCAAAAGAGGGCCAGAGAAATGACCAGAAGGAGGGAGCTCTCCTCTGAGGAACCGCTGTGAGAATTGTGCTGATTTAGCCTGGAGAAGAGCAAGCCCCAAGGAGACCTTTCAATATTTAGGGGCTTCGAAGAAGGATGAGGACATATCTTTTAGTAGGGCCAATTGTAAGAGGACAAGGGTGAATGGCCTATGCTAAAAGACACTCCATTCAGATTGGCTCTAAGGAAGAAACTACTCACAAGGAGAGTGCTGAAACACTGGCACAGGCTGCCCAGAGAGCCGGGAGGAGCCCCAAGCCCGGCAACATTCAAGGTCAGCTTGGATGGGACTCTGAGCAACCTGGTCCACTTAAAAGATGTCCTTGCCAGTGGCTGGGGTTTTGGACGAGATGACATGCACTGGTCCCTTCTAACCTCAAACAGTCTTGGATCCTACTTGGTTTTCATTGGAAAAGCACCCAGAGTGGATATGACTAGATGGGGGGGCCCATCTAAAGCCCTGGAGATTGGCTGAGGAACAAACCCTGGCAGGGAACAGCTGCTTGGGCTGCAGCCGCTTTGCCTTGTACCTGCAGAAGTTCCTCAGCAGAGCCTCGCCTGTCCACGTCCATCTGCAGGCAGCAACCCAGAAATTCACACAAGCCAGAGGGCAGCCTGAGCTTGTGCAGGTCTGGTACCCCTTGCTTGCCCATCAGGTAGTTAGCCTGAAGCAAAAGGAAACATGAGACTCAATGTGATTCTTCCATATCCTTCAGTGCTCACCTAGACCCCATCTTTTAAGCTCCAGTCTGCAGTGTCAATTTCTTGCCTAGCCGATGGTTAGACTGGAGCCTTCTCTCCCAAAAGAAAAAAGGCTCCAGTGTAGCCCCAGCTATTCCAAGCTGCAACAGGTCTTCCCTTGACAGCTGATGTGAGCCCCGGGCATGTTTTTGGAAGTGGGCCTTGGTGGAAGCACTTCAAGCTGTGGGCGTGGGATTTTGTCTAATGGACACGGAGCAGAAGGAGACCGCTCTCAGAGCGTATTTGCACCTTACCCTGTCACTGGGTTCCCGAATGTAAGGAGCCTCTCCTTTGGCCATTTCTATTCCCACGATGCCAAGGGACCAGATGTCCACTTTGGGGCCATATGGCTCTCTCCTCACCATCTTAGGTGCCATCCAGCACGTGGTCCCAACCATCGACCTCCGTTTACTCAGCTCAGGGCTGAGCAGAGCACAGAGGCCAAAATCAGCTGAGGAGAAAAACAAACACTGCTTCAACTAGGCAACCAAGGAAAAGGCTGCCTCGGGATGCCTACGTGTCAGAAGGCAATGCTGAATCGAGCTGCAAAAGCAGCTGGGCTCTCTTTCCTCAGGGCTGCAGCCAAGGACATGGGCAATTGTGCACTTAGCAATCCCCCCACGATTCCCAGCATGGCTTTTCCTCACTCACTGGAACGTTTACACTCAAACTCTCTCCCTTTGGAAGAACACTCCCACAAACCAAAGTTACTCTTGCTACCTTGTTGCTCTCTAGCCCACTCAGCACCTTACAGCTGCGCCTTGGGCTTGCAGAGCGCTCCCTGCCCTCTCCCCGGCACCACTGCTGGGCACCTGGCAGCCGCTCCAAAGCAGCCCCACACTGCCTCCCAGGAGCGCCTGACCAAGAATACCCACCCAGCTTGACGGAGCCATCCCGGCCCAGAAGGATGTTGTCACTTTTGAGGTCTCTGTGGATCACCTGGTTGGCATGCAGGAAAGCCAGGCCTTGCAGACACTGGTGATAGTAAAAGGGTTTTTAAATCACGAGATTTAGGGTTAACAGAAAAAAAAAAAAAAAACAACTTAGTAGGCCTTGGAAAGGTAAATACCTTTAGCACAGGGAGAAATAGTACTATGTAGCTAGTACATTATAATTGATATAATTGTTAGATGTGATGACTGTTTACTAATAAATATAATTACTGTTTAATCAGAAAGAATAATCATGTGAAACTGTGGTCATGGACCTAAGAAAGATCACTATAAACTCATGTCAATGTATACAATAGAACAATTTAAGTTTAATAATTAATGTGTAAGTTATACAACTATAGGGTATAAAATACGTTCAGCTCAAAACTTATGTTCGGAGTCAGATTTGGGTTTGTACCCCAATTCCCAGAGCTCTTAATAAAAGCACCTGCATATAATCGTATCCTGTGATTATGTGTGTTTCCGAACGCTAACACTGGGACAGAAAAAAACAAACAGGAGGCCAAAAGTGAGTCTGATCTGATTTCATCACACACAAAAGCAGACTGCTCCTGAAGATTCACAGGTCTCAAAGGAGCAGGGAGCGCTGGCAAGAGGAAGAGCTTGCTGCTGCAACACTAGGAGAGCAGGATCTTGCCAAGGGAAGGCATATTAGTGCTTGACGGGGAAACGTCAGTCATTGCTCGAGACTGTCCCCTGCAAAGCCAGTCAGAGCGATCCCTGCTGCAGTGGATGCGCTCTCCCTGTCCGCAGGACAAACTATGGTTTGCCAAAAGAGTAAAGGTCCCTGCCTTGGCTACCAAGGGGATAACTCTCGGGTGGGAGATTGGAAGACAAGGGTTATAGGGCTTCCTCAACAGCAGACTTGGAAGTTGTTCATGGGTCAGTTTTAAGTAGCAGGCACCATGGTGGGTGCCATGCTATCCTTTGAAGTTGAGACCTGTGACAGATGAGTCTCTCTTTGGCTTTGCCACTGGTTTAAAACTTGGACACCAGCACCTTTGTGCTTACAGGCAAAGAAGGTATTGCAGAAAGGTTTTGGGCAAAGGCTTGGAGAGGCAAAGTGCAGAACAGAAAATGACAATGGAAACGAGACAGAGAGTTCAATAATGGGAGAGAAGAGTAAAGAGCAGGGACACCGGCAGGCAGTTCAGTCCAGATGCTCTTTCTTCTCCAAAGCATAAGAGCAACACAGAAAGAAGCTCTGAACATGGAATCACTCACTTTACAGCGCTTTCAAAGGACAAGCCTGTCCAAGCCATCCCAAGCACAAGCAGGATCCCTTACCTCCCGACACACTGTTGCTATGTGTCCTACAGCCATCCTTTTCATGTTGACCACATCAGCTAAGGAGCCTCCATCCATATACTCCAACACCAGCAGGACAGCCCCACTGACAAGGTAGCTGCAAGACTAAAACAACTGCATGGAGCTGAATGTGCACAGCTAAATTGCCGTAGGGAAGAAAAGACTGCAGCAGAGTTTTGTTTCCAGGTCGCTGGTAAATGAAGAGGGAATCAAGTGAAGACACACTCCAGCTAGGCTATCCAGTGCTTGCCATCTGTGCCGTCTAAATGAGGAAGGCACATCTGTGGAAAAGGAGACGGCTTAGGTGGCAAGCAGGGGAAAATGGCACTTTTATAACAACAAAGATTAATCTGGAAGCGGACACATCCCAGCAGCTGCTTCATCATCTTCGTACACAAATTGCCCCATTAACTCCAGCAGCAAGGAAGCACAGTCTTCGCAGCTTTTACTCAGGGCAGGTGGGTGTGCAGCCCTGCCAACACCCTTTGGAAAACCATGCAGAAAGGACAGTGACAAACAGGAAAAACAATTTCAAACCTCGCAAATTATGTCTCTCCTAGCCTAGTCTTTTGGCATGCAAGGCAATGGAAAACAGTGGGAACAGCACAAGGGAAATCATTTCTGTGATGCTTTCTCAGCGCTTCTCCTCTGACACATGGAAAAAATCACGCTCCAAAACAGCAAAACAACACGCAGTGAGTGAACATACATGCTGCTGGCTTAGTAAGAGAGCCATGTTTCTGAGGTCGATCTTCAAGCTATTTCTGCCAGGAAGCATTCGTGGGGACAAAATGCAATCTCCTCCCATGCCTCGTACAGGAGCAGATTGATGTTAATTGTAAGATCCATTTTCTGCCAGCATACTGACCTTTCTAGGTAGGTATAAATATTGGGGTTCTTCTTTTCATTCATGACCAGGATTTCCTTCAACACATCCTCACAGCCCTGGTGCTGGACATTATGTTGTTTTATGGCCACCTACAATGAAATGGAAAGCCATTAGGAGCAGACACTACGAGAGCCACTTTCTCCATGCACACGTGGGCCTGGACACCTTGTCACCTCACTAGAAACGACACTAAACCACCAACAGCAGCGCGTCAACAGCACTCTCTGCACCTGCAGACTTCTCAAACAGACTTTGTTTATCCCTACTATTATCATGTACACATGTTTTGCAAGCCAAAAGTAATTTGGCTCCTGTCAAGATAAATTGAAACCACTGGAAATGCGTTCGCATTTCGAGGGGCTTTGACCCTAGCCTTTCGGAGATGGCTGCCATCCTTGACTGTGTGCCAAAGTCAAAGCACACATAGATGACAGGGAAAATGCTGTCCAAAAAAAAACTCCAAGGTGACTCAAAGTAAAGTTACAATCCTAGCACATCCTAACTTCTTCAGTTTGGGTTTTGCAACTTTGAAGAACAACCTTGAAGACGGTTTACAACGTGTAATTATTGTAATTTGTAATTTTTTAGTGGGTTTGAAAATGAATAATCCTTCTGTGGTACACTATGGATACACCCCAGGTCATAAAGCAGGGCCTAGGGCTTTCGGATGCCTCCTCGACCTCCCTCCAAGTGCAGTTCCTGAGTGCAGCACTGCAGGTGGATAAGGAACTATCAGGAAGATGGAGTTGTATTTGCTGAGAGCTAGAAACGAGAATTCAGGACTCTGAACTTATAACCCCAAAGAGCATCAGGACTCTCCAAGACACCACCGTGTCTGTTCAGTACAAATAGCATCTGTGTAGCGGAATCCCTCCAGCACAGGATCAACACAAGGTTGTATTATTTAAGGCTCTTCATCAATTTCTTCTCACTGGTCTGTGTGTGTGTGTGTGTGTGTGTGTGTGTGTGTGTGTGTGTGTGTGTGTGTGTTTGTGTGTGAACTAGGTTCTCTAGGAGTGAAAGGCAAAACTGTGCTCCAGACAAGACTCTCCTTCTTTAGGTCCTGCATTAAATTTGAAAACTGAACCATGTGGTGGAAAACAATGGGAAATCCTTTCTGCATCTGAACCTGGGCTTAAGAGGAATTGGGTCAGAATGATGGCTCTTGCCATCAGCTAATCTATTAATATTTATCCAGTAAGTCCAAGCCAGCGCGTCCTTCTCTGAAAGACTCCACCGCCATCCTTGCATTCACTCAGGTAGGGAGGAAGGACAAGATCTGTCCAAAATGCATTTTGCAGCCTGCCTCTGGACAGGCTGCTTCTGCGGGACAGCCTTTGCAGCAAAGTCAGGCAGCTCAAGGCTTTGGCCATAGATCACATCACAAGGGAAAGCACTCAAGACCTGCAAAATCTGCATGGGCTGTTGGCACTTACTGCTCATCCTGTGGCAGCGTCAAAGGCCTTATTAACGGTCCCAAACCCCCTAGAAACAGAACGGTGGCAAGAACAGAGAAGTTGGTCAGTGCTGAGAAGCAAAAGGCAGCCCAGGCAGGAACTCTCTGCTGCCTGCAGTGTCTCTAAAACACCAGGGTCTGTCCACTCTTCAGCCAATGGCCAGCAGCCCAACAGCCCTCTGCCATGCAGAGTGTCCAAGAGAAAAGCTGGCTGCAACAGGAAGAAGAAGAGCTGCTACAAATCTCAAATGTACACTCTAGATTATGCATGCGGGGTTTTCTTTGCCTTTCCCTTCTTGTGTCTGTGCCCGTGGGGTGCCTTTCCAATCAATGAAACATACAGTCCTGCTGGGCCTTCTCATCGCTGCCTTAATCCTGCCTGCAAAACTCAGGCAACACCACACAGCCTTTCTTCTTTTCCTGACCACTGAAGATTGTTTTCAGCAAAATACTGGAAAGCAATGCTACTGAGAGCTGTTATGTGATGACTGTCAGGTGGGAAGCTGCTCTCTCATGTTTTTCTTCCTTCATGAGTGTGGCCAAATCACTTTGAAGCATACAAAACCATGTATCCGGGGAAAACAGGCAAACTGGTGCCACCTGTTTCAGGTATTGCAGGAGAGCTTGCAGATCCTACTGCTTGAGGCAGGCAAGACATTGTCAGAACCAGTTATCTTTCATGATGCCTCGTACTGCCTCAGCACTGAGACAGGGACAGTCCAAAGCCAGGGTCTGAAGATGCTTGCAGCTTGCCTGACTTCCCACATGATATTGCACACCAAAATACCTGGCCCATGGTTCTATAGAAGTAAGTGTGGCTGCACTCACCCACTGCCAATACATTTCCATCCAGTGTACTTCTTCTCTGGATCTCCCACATTCAACACATGCCCTGAAAGAAGCCAAATGCAAGGAGCAAACTTCAAAACAGAGATCCTGACTTCTGGGAGATCTGAAAACCAGCTCCGCTCTCTGGGGCTCTGAGCAATTGATGGTCGCTTGGCTAACAATAGCATCAAGAAGAACAACAGCAGCAGCAGCCCCAGCAAGACAGGCAGCTCGGTAGCACATCTGGCCTGCACGCAGTCTGATTCTCCAAACTCCTTTGAAGGGCTGCCTTGAGGGGAAACTAAGCCCAAGGGAAAACCATCAGAGCAGACAAAAAGCAGAAAAGAACAGGCCCCAAGGCAAGTGGTTGTCATCTACAAATGGGAAGGAGGGCTGAAAAATCATGACACTTCGTTTTCTTGGGAAGAAACACTCTCTTGTGAGATTCAACAAAAGGTTTCATACTTCCGAAGTTTCAATGCACCCTGGGATCTGGAAAGATTTTTAGCAACAGCTGCTTTTTGCAGAGCAGAAGGAAGATTGCAAAGTGGATACCAGGAGAGGAGGGGATCTTCTCTACCTCTCAGCAGTTTGCCTAAAGTACGCCTTGACATTTTTAGAGAACAGCAGCTCATGCTATAACCAAGAACAATGGCTCTAGGAATTAGGACCCTCTTCATTTATGAGCAGGCTAAGTTCTGGAGATGACTTTGCCCATTCCCCATTTAGTGAAGAACTACAAGTCCTTGTCTTCAGCCTGGGCTGCAGCAGTCACTAGCACTGGACTCAGCCCCTTGAACACCACCCACGTGCCCCATCTCCCCAAATGGGCACAGCCAGATGGGTAACAAGAACAGCACCGCTCCTTAGGCGCTGCTGTGACACAGACACCAGCACAAATGAGATGCTGATCCTTCCACGAGTCCAGGGGCAGCTGCAGCAATGGGACGGCAGCTGAAACCTCACAGCTAAGGAAGGCTCCAGCCTCTGCAGTCACACCGGCTGTCAGTGGCAGGGCAGGCATGACAAAAAGCTTGGCAAGCCCACAAATGGCCACTGACAGCCACTGTGAAGAAGCTAGAGCCACATCAAGCCCTGTTACAAGCTGTTGACCCCTCTCAAGACAGAACATGATTGTCTTTGACTTCAGGCCCATGGAGGAGTAGATCAATCCACCTTTTATCTGATGGCAGCTGATGGCAGACACGAAGTAAACTGGGCTCTGTGCTGTACCTGAGCGGTTATTCTCTGACAGCACTGTACTGGCAGCTATTACCAGTTGGAAGAAGCAACTCAGTTGTACTGCACAATCAGCAGGGCCTTGCTGTGCTTTCCTAGAGTACGATCTGTGCAGGGATTGAGGCCAATGCTTAGTATTCCTGGAGTATTTACCAGCTGGGCATTAGCAGTGACAACGTGCCTGGTACCAGAGCAACATGCAGTAGAGAGGCTTCCTCCTGACAATTGCCTGCAGGGCAGTTCTATCTGACCTATGTCTCTTTGATGCATCTTCCCAAGCATACAACTAAAATATCAAACAGGAACTGTAAAAAGAGTGTCCTGTTCTTCTTCTTTTGGGGCACTTTGAAAAGAGCTCTTCGTCTCTGATTCCTTGAGATTGTTCTAAGAATATAATGTTTTAATTTTTAAGGCATACTGAAAAGACCTCTTCCTCTCTTATTTGTGCTGTCACCTGATGTTCTTTTCAAGGAGGTCAGGCTAACCAAAATGTAGGATTCTTATCAACACCAACTGTAGAAGGAATAGGAGAAGTACTAGGAGTCATAGAAACAACAGCAGTATGAAAGCAGCCCTACAACAAATCAATTTCTCTGAAGCATTTTGTCTCAAATGACTGGTCACAAGTCAGGAGTCTAAAGAGAATCTTGCAAACCAACTGTTCTGCTCAGTTTGGCCAGACTAGCACACACACCTCCTCTGAGTCATGGGCTAGGTTGCAGCCTTCTGCTGCCCCCAAAACAATCCCTGCTTTTGTCTTTACTCTAGAGGGAAGCTCAGGCAAAGCCCACCCATGCCCAGCTGCCCTCAAAGGCAAAAGGAACGCCCCAAGCGCTCCCTGCCTGCATCCAAGCACCACAATGGCGTCTGTAGGGAGTCCAAAATTCCTCTCCCAGCACCAAAGCAAGGAGGAACATGTGCTACAGCTCTTGCTGAGGCACAGACACTAGAATACACTGCTCGATAGGACAAGAAATCCCCAGGACGTACTCAGCAGCTTCAGGAACTGCTTCTCTCTCTCCTGGCTTGAGCGGGGCAAACTGCTCATGCTCGGGTTTTCAGGCTGCAGAGAGGAGGCTTCTTCGGAGGATGCTGCTGCAGCAACAGCTTTGATGGCATATCCTGCACCCATCTGGGACAAGAAATTGGTTTGTGTCAGAAAGGTGCCTGGCAGAGATGCCCCTGACAGAGCATTTCAAAGGCAACACCTTAGGAACAGCACTGGTGTTCGGCTGCAAGCGGAGCTGTCAACTCTTCCCCCTCCAGTCCAACCCAAACAAGCAGTCAGGGACTACAGCTTGTCACAGTTAGCCGTAGTAAAGACTGCAAAAGGGAAAGAACAACTTTACCCTTCACCCCCTTCTGAGGACTGCATTCACCATGGACAGGGACAACTTGTTCGGAATCTGCATGGGTCACACTGCTCACCTGAACAAACCCCACAGAAAACAAAGCGAGCACTAAGAGGCCAGCAGAAATACATTCCGAGAATTGCTGGCCCACTGGCCAAAGCACTAGCCCTGCTGCCCAGAGCAACAGCTGAGATTCAGCAACCCAGCAAGTGTCCTTCTGAGCAGCTGCCATGGAGCCCACAGAGCATGGTGGTCAGAGAAACTGGCCCCATGGACCTGCAGCTCTGCAGGGGAAAGGCAACAAGGGCAGAGACCACTTGTTGCATGGCTGCAGTGCTTCCTCTTCTTCCACTCACCTGCTTTCCTTCAGCCAGCCTGTACTGCAGCAGGACCTTGTGCATCCTTTCCATTTCTTCATTGTGCTTCTTCTCCATTGCCTTCATCTTGCTCTAAGCTTCCCACAACTCTGCCTGCAGCTTGTCCTTGATATTCTATCAAGAGGAATCTTATTGGCATCTGCAATCTCGCTCAGGTTTCCTCTGTTGCAGTCTCAAAAGCACTTGTGTTCTGCCACTTTCTTCGGCTTCTCTACCCAGCTCTAACCCTTCCATCCTAGCCCTTCTTCCTGGTGCTCAGCTTCCTGGAGCCTGCCAGGCTCTGTGCTTCCAATGCCTGCAATGGTCCTTACCTCTCCTTTCCTTTCGTCTCCACTTCACAATCCCATCATTGCCCTTCCAGGCTCTGCTACCTGGCTAGTCAGGTTCACCTGCCCATTCTCCCGCTCCTTATTCAGCTCCTGCCTCAGCTGCTGTAGCTGGCCTTCGTTTAGATCTCCCAGCAGCCGGCACATCTCATCAAGTAGAGCAGCCTTCTGGCACTGTTGCTGCACAGAAACAAAGAGAACACAGCTTTAAACATCCCACACAGCACTTGTGTGCAATCAAGATTGATGTGCTCATTCTTGTTTGTTCTCCTTCCTGTATTTACCAAGGGCCAGATAAGAGACAATCCAGACAGACAGTATCCAGAGAAGCAGTGCCCATAAGGAGCCAGAGGAGTCTAAAACAACTCACAAACTCTTTTCAAAATCTGTGCATCTTGACTCCCTCTGGTTCTTATCTTTTCTCATCCAGGTTGCATGATGGCAACTGACTGCTTCATCTCAAGCAGCCTTTTCTCCTGTCCCCTCTGTACCTCTGCCATGACGTTTGCCCATTGCTCCAGCTGCTCCTGTGCCTCCAAACTCTGTTGTTCCAGCTGTCTCTCCTGATGAGGAGAAGAGACACATCCACACGAAGTCCCATCACTGCTCCCCAAAGAAAAAAATAGAAGCTTCATCCCTCCAACAAGCCCTGCACCTGAAGAGTGCACACTAGTGACTTTGTGCCCTCCAGCACGTAGGAGAAGGGCCAACATGTGTCAGGAATGGAGAGGTCATCTTCCTTCCCTGCTCTGATGGCTGCCTGTTTTCTGGCCCCCCTCTCTTCAGGATTTCTGTCTGTTCTCAGAGGCTCTGTTCTCCAATTCCCCTGCCCTTTGATCAAGGAAAAGCTGCAGATGGACTGCAGGATGAGGACAGGGCCAGCACCTCGATGACCCAGTCACAAGACAGCCCACCAGCTGAAGTACCAGCACCACGGGGCCTGCTGCAACTGCTTCAGGCTCCAAGCGAAGACCTCTGTCCACTGTGGGAGGACAGAAAGCAAGGAACCCAGCTGCTGGGACTGCAGGTGGCAGCAATGTCAGCAGCAGTCTGCTGCATGGCACGAGGCTGTGGGGAAGATGCTGCCCCTTCACTGCCATGCTTTGGGTGGCGACCACCCAGCCTCCTGGGGAACTTGGCTTCTGTCCATGCTGAACCTGTGGCTACCTATACTGTCCCAGCATTGTCCTCTGGCTCTTCACAGGCCTTCTTCAAGTGTGAGCTCTTGAACCCCTCTGCTGCCTGGCCCAGCAACGTGTAGCCTACAGCAGATGCCTGTGACCATGTCCCATACGCAGGCTGCTCTTCTGCTAAGCCAGCCCTACAAACTTGCCTGAAAACTTCAGCCATGTATTGTTTCTTACCAGTTTTTGCACCATCTTCCTTTTCTCCGCTTCCTCTGCAGCTTGCCAGAGTCCCAGAGCCTTGCTGCACTGCTCTTCTGCCCAGAGCAGCTGTTGAGCCATGACCTCACACTGCTGCTTGCTGAAAGATCTTACAGCCAGCAGCTCACCACGAAGGCCCCTCACATTCTCTGCAAACATGACACACGGCAACAATCAGAGGCAACACAAGCAGAGGAATCTGCTGACCTTAAGCCCTTTCAGTTCCAGGCAAGGAGGAACCTGCCCTCAGCTCCTTCACTCCTCACAAGCCCTGCAGACAGAGCTGCCTTTGCAGCAACTGCACCAGGCAGGGCCATCACCAGAAACAAAGCGCACGAGGCTCTCACTGAGTATCAGCTCCTTGGCCTGAGGGGCTGCGCACACTTGGGCTTCCAGGTGGCTCCTGGCTGTCTCCAGCTCTGACACGTGCTGCTGAGCCTCCAGCAGGCTGCTTTGCAGGCTCTCTTTCTCTGACCTACAAGTTGTGAAGATGGAGAGCAATTATTCCTGGCACACAAAGGCAGTTTCTCCAGTAAGGCACATCTTCAGATGTGCTTTAAGATCCCTATACCTTAGTATGGAGAACAGCCTGCATGGAAGCTCAGATAAAGCAGGACAATTTTACCACTGAAAATAGCAGAGCAGGTCCCTCCAGGTGACTGGGCAGCCTTTCCTCATGACCTAGCCCAGCACAGAAAGCCCAGCTGAGTTTGAGCTCAGCAGAAAAAGCTCAAATTGCAGTGGCCTGATTTATCACACACCGGTGGTTGTGCCCACAAAGTCTCTGCAAATGAACAAAAGGCCAGCCGCTGCTCACAGCCCTGAGCTCATCAGCACTTCCAAGTCACTCTGCAGGGGGACATAACAGTGTTCTCCTGGATGACCTGTCTCAATGTTCCATGCTATTCATAGTGTACGTATAGGTACTTTGTTTGCCAGGCACTCCCTAAGTAAAAGGGACTAAGGAATTTGCAGAACGATTTAGTGAAACCTCCAGCTTTCTAGAAGCATGAGTAGGAATCCAGAACTAGGTTTTTATCTGAACAAGAAGTGTGTAGGAAAAGGAGAGACAGACAGGTATCCTGCCATTTAAATCATTGGAACTTTGTGAACAAGAACACTTGCTGCCTATATTTATGGCTAATTAAGCCAGCAGTACCCAAATGACTAGGCACTCAAAAAAGGAAGAGGGACCAGCCAAAGGGACCTTGACAGCTTACAGAGGTGGCTGGACAAGTGGGCAAGTTTCAGTGCTCGGCAAGAATCCCTAGAGACTGTTGAGGACTCACAAGACCTTTCCCTCCTGCTGCTGCTGCTGCTGCTGCTGCTGCTGCTATTAAGCTACTCTAGATCCTGCATCCTACTCCACAAGAGTGAGCTCTGAAGTGCCGCAAGATTTTCAGCATGACCCTCCATCTTCAGTGGAAGCATCAGCACCCTACTCACACCATTCACATGTCAGAGCCTTGAATTCTGAAAATCCCATGTCAAACTATTTGGCAAGGAAGAATTGATGTTCGGACACACCGAAGGAGAAAGCAAAACCAGAGGCAAACTTCTGGTTTGAGGAAACACCTGCACAGTTTCCCTGGTACTCAAGTCAGTGACAAGTTGGTTTGCTTTGCACTTGTCACAGGAAGGTGCAAGAGGTCCCAAGCAGGAGCCCAAAAGAGCTTGGAGAGCTTGAGTTGGCAGAAAAATAACATTCAGATCTCCGTATCCTTTTATTTTTTCTCATGTCTCTTTGCCTCCCTGTCTGAGTAATATCAGGAGAGCACAGAGGAGGCAGTAAATCCTGACATAATGCTCACCACCTTTGTAATTACAGACCTTCAATAATGTCCCACCCTGGGTCTCCTCCCTGCCTTTACCTGTCTTCTGCCAGCTGCTCTGAAATGCCTCATAGCTCCCGCTCCACGGCTGCCAGTCGGGCTTCCAGGGCCGTGTTCTCTTGCACCAGCACCGCCTTCTCTCTGCACACCTGGGACAGTGTGTGCCCATGGCAAGAGAACTCCTGGAGCAGCTTCTCCAGGCCCCTGTGGGCTGGCCGCTGAGGGCGGCAAACCTGGAAGTGGGGGGCACCATTTTTCAAGTGGAACTACAACAACAACAACACAGGCTCGGTCTTAGCTTGCTGCCAGAAGCATCATTCGGGGGGGTCTGGCTAGGACAAATCCCTCTCCCACAAGTGCTGCCTAGGAATAAGGTGAGCGTACCTTTGCTGCTGCCAGAGGAACTGCTTCCTTCAGCAGATCCCTCTGAGGCTGCGATTCCTCCGCTCTCTGTGCCACCACTTCAAACGCCCTCTCTAGTGAGGAGTGGAGTTTTCTCTCAAATGCAGCCAACTCCTTCCACCTGTGACAAGGGGACAGACAAACAAGCCTTTAAGTGTAGCACAAAAAGTTTTGCTCCTTGCAAAACCAGCACTCTATACCATGCCCCACATAAGGCATCCCAGGGCCTTCCACAGCCCTCTACTTCCACCTCAAGAGAATGCTGCAATTCCCTCCCTAGACCAGCATCTCTCTTTGTCATTCTTGCGGGTGAAAGAGTCGCCACTGAGGAAGTCAAACAAGCTTCCAGAAGCCACAGAACTTTTCCAGAAAGCTCAGGTACTGTAATTTCTATGGTTTTCCCCCCCTCCACGCAGCCCCCTCTAGGATCTGACCAGCTCAAAGATATGGGGCTGTGAGGGGAGGAAATACAAGGAGAGGGAAAAGTATTCAAAAGAGGCCCTTACCCCGGGGAAGTTGGAACAGCCCTCTTTATTCTGTGGTGTCCATGGAGAGCGGGGCAAAAGGGAAAGAGCAGGAAGTTTCAGGGGTCTATATAGGTTTTGGACAGGGTGAGCTCTCCTGGCTCCCTGCCAACCCCGTTGGGGCAGGGAGGAGGATCCAGGGGTTATCATTATCAGAGCCACAGAGCCCCTAGGGAAGGGGGGCAAAAGGGTGTCCAGGAGCTCACCGTAACACCTCCCCCTTATTTGTTAAACAAGGTTACAGGAATTCACTGGTCTCAATTCAACCCTGAATATGGGTTTCCCACCACCCCATGTTGGTGGCGTAGTCAGGCCTCCTCAGGTTAGCCAACTCTATGTGGTTGACCTCTGAGGTAGAAGGTATGAGGCCCTTGATAGCCTTGAAAAATCAAGTGACGCAGGATCCCGAACGCTAGGGTTACAAAGAACAGAATAACAAAGACTAACAAAATTGATCTAACAACAGATGTCCACCACCCCGTGAATCCCCATACCTTTAACAGTTCTGTAAACCAATCTTCAGACTCTTGCTTCACTTGTCCAATCAGGCTGTTCATGCTTCGAAGGGCAGCATGGACGTTTGGAGCTTTTGAAGTCAGGTCCATGCAACAAAGTCCTTCAAATTCCTTGCATTCATGTCCATGCAGTAGCAAAAGGAAATCTATTGCAGCACGATTCTGCAGCGTGGCCTGTCTGGTAATTTCCTCATCTTCTAGGAGGGAGCTGATGGCAGCAGATGTTAAGTTTGCCTGTTTGACTACCCAGCACTCTAGGTGGCCCAATTCACCTAGAGCTTTGGCTGCTGCGACCCACGGAAGAAACAGGGACACAGCAACTCTTTTTGACTTGGCCCAATGAAAAATTTCTGAGTTACAATTTGGGTCCAAAGGGTCTGCACTCCTCTTTTGAATTTTGTTTGCCGATTTATTTTTGTGAGTCCATTCACCAATTAGAGTTTGGTTGGGTGTCAATATGGACAGCTTCCTGATCGTACATGGCCTTCCTAAAAGCCGAGACGGAATTCCTGCCCATGCCCTATCCCCACAAATTAAAAACAATCCCTTAGGGAGACCTTTGGGGTTGGAGTGAGATGGGTTGTCTGCCCCGATATGGCTTGTGTTCTGACACCACCTCCTTGCAGTGAACTCCCCACGGTGTTGTTTTATGACGTGGTATTCGTCAGTGTTAGAAGGTTTTGGGAACACAGCAAAGTGTACACAGTAAGCTGCAGGGGAGGAACCCAATAGCTCTAACTCTTGGGGTTCCTGGGCTATCTTGGGCAAACCCCGCAACCACTCCTCTAAGGATTTTAGGATCCCCCCGACTTGCTTCTGATCTTTGTGTGGTCGTGGGGTGTATGACTCTGGGATTTCATTGGACCTGTATGTGTCCAGGCCTGCTGGAAATACTCCAGCCTGCCATGGAATTCCTACCAGACAGGTGGACATAGGGTCTTTTGCTGCTGCAGTGGACAAGCAAATGTTTTCCTGCTGTAGCGTCTGTGCCAGGGTCACCCAGATGTTTTGACGTGGCTGAGGGACGATCCATGCGGCTGCCTGACTGTTCAACAATAGCAGGATGACAACTCGGATGGGGTTCATCACAGGGTTGAGTGGAAGGTAGGTTTTCTCTAAAAGGGAAAAACAAACATTTTAAGAACATGTTAAAGTTTCTGTTTCTGCCGGAAGGAATTCATGCCTAGGAACTTTCTTCTTCTCCCCTCCGGCGGCGTCTTCTCTTTGAAGCATCAGATACTTGCTTCTTGTGCCCTTCTGTTCGACCTGGATTCTTGGGGACAAAAGGTTTCACCCACTTCTGGGGAATCCACCGAGGGCCTGAGGGAGTAGCAACACACGCATAGCCACGACCCCAGGTTACAAGTCCATAGGGACCCTTGGTTTCCCAAGTTTCCGGATCCCTAATTAAGACCGGTGGATGCTGAGACAATTTAAACTGCTTGCCACTGTTAAAGTGACGTACAACAGGTGGACTCATATTTTCGAATGAACAATTCAGAAAATTGATAGTAAACATAGCTTTACAGAGCTTTTCTCGTGGAGACATCCACGGAGCTGAGCTGTTTTGTTTTTTCAATACCTGCTTGAGCGTCTGGTGTGCACGCTTGACTACAGCTTGACCTGTGGGGGAGTGGGCAATGCCAGTTTTATGTTCCACTCCCCACTGTTGGAGAAATTCTAGGAACTCCTTGGATACATACGCTGGGCCATTATCTGTTTTGATCGTTTTTGGCACCCCCAGTACTGAAAATGCTTGTACTAGGTGTTGTTTGACATGTGCAGCCTTTTGTCCTATATGGGCAGAGGCATACACTGCACCTGAGAATGTGTCCACGCTTACATGAACGCATTCAAGGCGACCAAAACTCTGAATGTGTGTGATGTCTGTCTGCCATACCTCACAGCTGCTAACGCCTCTAGGGTTTACCCCCATGCCTAGCAATGGCACGGCCTGGAGCTGACAATTAGGACAGTTGGTCACAATGGCTCGGGCCTGACTCCGTGTTAGCTGGAACTGTCGAATCAAACCTGGCACATTCTGGTGGTAATGCTGGTGACTCAGCTTTGCCTGTTGGAAAACATCAGGGAGACTTGCCTTTTCGACTGGTGCAGCGAAGGAGTCTGCTTTTCGGTTCCCCTCTGCAATCTCACCTGGCAAATCAGTGTGTGACCTCACATGCATCACAAAGAATGGATGTTCTCGGTGCAAGATTAAATAAATTAGCCTTGAGAGTAACCCGAAGAGATGTTCATTTTCTATTTCTCTGAGCACAGCCTGCTCCGCCCTGGACACTATACCTGCCACATAGGCAGAGTCTGTCACCAAGTTGAACGGCTCGGAAAACTTCTCAAAAGCTCTCACCACTGCAGCCAGTTCAGCCACCTGGGGGGATCCCTCCACAAACTCAACATCAGCTTCCCAAAGCTGAGTCTGTGGATTTCTCCAAGTCATCACCGACTTGTGGGAAGCCCCAGAGGCATCAGTGAACACTGTGAGAGCCCTGAGCGCCCTCCGGCTCCTTTTCTCTTGAGGAATAAGGTGGAATTCCTCATTGAACAACTTGTGAGACGGGGCATGGACTGATATTTGTCCCCTATAGCTGTCCAGAGATAGCTGGAGACTGGCACTGCTCTGGAGCAAATGCTCAAACATCCCTTTGGTCAGTCTCTCAGGAGAGTTCCTTCCCTCCTCAGAAAGCCTGACTGGAAGGTGAATGCATGCAACGTCACACCCTGCTAATTCACACAACCTCACCCTGGCCTTCTGAATCAGCTTTGCTATCAGCTCTTGTGGCCTAGTGATGGTTTTGGATCTTTGGAGCGATAGGAAAACCCCTTCTATGATTAAGAGTGGGTCCTTCTGCCCCTTGATCCATTGGAAAATCAACCCATGCAGGTGTGGCAGCTTTCCTAGAACAATGAACTGGAAAGGCAGATTTGGGTCACACCTGTGTGCCTGCCTTTCTGACAAGGCCTTCTGTACCTTTTCGATTGCTGTCTTTGCCTCTGGAGTCAGTTGCCTGGGGGAGGCCAGCTCCCTCTCCCCCTTCAATAAATTGAAAAGAGGTTCCAGATCTTCATTTGTGAGGCCTAGCCAGGGCCTTACCCAATTTAAAGACCCACACAGCAAGTGGAGGTCTGCTAGTGTTTTGGGGTTGCAATTTATCTCCAATTTCTGTGGGACAATAGTCCTTGCAGGAATTTCCAGGCCCAGGTATCTCCAAGCTGGCATTCTTTGAACTTTGTTTTCCTGCAATTGGAATCCAGCAGAGGTTAAAACTTTAACCACTAGGTCAAGCGTGTATTGGAGTATAGAGTCATTGGGAGCACACACAAGCACGTCATCCATATAGTGTAGGATGATGGCATCCTTTCTCTCTGCACGTACTGGAGACAGTAGTGCTGCTACATACTGTTGGCATATGAAAGGGCTGGATTTTAAACCTTGGGGCAAAACTTTCCAGTGGTAGCGTTTCATCGGTGCTTCTCTATTGACAGTAGGAACTGAGAATGCAAACCTCGGGGCATCTTCAGGGTGCAATGGAATTTGGAAGAAGCAGTCCTTTATATCTAACACAGCCAATTTCCAGTCCTGGGGAAGCATAGCTGGACTCAGCATCCCTGGTTGGAGAGGTCCCATGTCCTCCAAAATTTTGTTTATCTCTCTGAGATCGTGGAGCAATCTCCATTTGTCCTTCCCAGGCTTTTTTATTACAAAGACTGGGAAATTCCAAGGGCTGTCTGTTTCTTGCAGGTGTCCTTGAGCTACCTGCTCCTCCACAAGTTTTTCAAGCGCCTCGAGTTTTTCTCTACTCAAAGGCCACTGTGCTACCCACTTTGGGGTGTTATCCAACCACTTTAACTTGTGGGCATGGCGCTCCACAGCGGCTACTTCCGAAAATCCTGGGGTGTCCTAGGAATGATTAATTGGACTCCCCACTGGGACATGGTGTCTCTCCCCCACAGAGGAGCCTTATAGTCTGCCACAAATGGGCGAACACTTGCCGATTTCCCATCAGGTCCCTCAATTTGCACTACATTTTTAGAAATTTTTGCCAATGTAGTTCCTCCTATACCCTGAAGTTTGCCTGCCACAGGTTGCAATTCCCAGTGTGATGGCCACATGGTTTGGGTATCACCGTGATGTCTGCACCTGTGTCCAGAACACCTTCCACCTGAAGGTGCTCTGACCCATGTGCTAGGTTGCATGCCGTGGAGGGTTTATCCTCTCCTACTACTTCTGCCCAGTAGACTTCTGGAGATTTTCCTTCTACTGTGATTTCTACTGGGATAGGAATGGCTTTTGCCAGAATTTGCCCCTTTTCTAGATAGAATGGAGGGTGCAAGCAACGTGCCAACAGCATAAGGCTGGATATTTTTCCCTTAGTAGTCATGGGAACTATTTCGATCTCTGGAGGTGTGTATGCTGTGTCCCCAATAACAAAATACTCACTGTCCAGTTCCATATCGTACACCTGCAGGTCTTGTGAGCTGTTTGGCAGGTGCACTACAATGACTTTCCAATCAGTGGTTCTGAAATGAAATCCTTTGGCAGTCACTAGACGTGACCGGCCTAGTGGTTGCCAAACCTTGTTAGTAATACATTTCACATTTTTATTTTTCTCTCCCCCCCCACCATAGTACCCACCCTCCCCCTTATTTGTTAAGAGAGAGGCATTGTCGCATTTTGGTCCCGCTACATTTATATCTTTGCGCTTAGCGGTGGGCATGCGCTGTGCATTTAGGTTTTTTGTTTGTTGATCTGTCTCTGGCTCTGGTTTTGAGGACAGTTTTTGGCAAAGTGTCCTGGTTTCTTGCAACGCAGGCAGATGATGTGCTGCAGCTGTTGTGATGATCTGGGTGGCTTCCTTGGGCTTGATGCAGCAGTGGCAACAGGCAACAGGCTGTATTTCTGTAGATGCCCTATGACTGACAGGACTATCAAGCAACTCTGCTCTCTTGGCGCATGCTTCGATCATTTGGGCAAGAGTAGGTGCTGGATCAAGAGGAAGGCTGAGAAGAATCCTACGACAGGTCTCATTGGCATTCCTCTGAGCCATTTCTTTAATCAACTCTGTTTGCACACTGGTGTGTTGCACCTGTTTTGCAACTTGGCTTCTCAAACAATCCACAAACTGTAAAAACCTCTCAGAAGGAAACTATTTGATGTTAATATAGCTGCATTTAACCTCAGTTCCTGGTAATTGATACAGAGTCTTTTCTGCAGCAATACAGATTTTTTCCAAGACCGATCTAGATAACAGTATGGTTTGTTTTTCTGGACATTGTATGTCCCCTGTACCACATAAATGATGTATTGTAATGGGCTGGCCATCAGTGTCAGTGGCCGCACTGGGTGTACACTGTATTTCTTGCAAAACTGTTTCCAAAGCAAATTTCCACTTATTTTCCCATATTTCATATTCAGAGGATGTTAGTAAACATTTAAACAAATCACTTATATCTTTCGGTACCATTTCATTTGAATTGAAGGTTGCTCTGATCATACCTTTAAAAATCTCATTAGACCTCCCAAATTCTCTCTGAACTTTACAGATTTCTGTTTTGTCCCTGTATGGGAGAGGTTGGTATGTTCTTGTACCATTTCTTCTCCCTAAATAAACCACTGGAGCTACAGATGGTATAGATTCCTCGGTAGAGACAGGCTTATGTCCCCCCCGCGCCCCCCCCGCCCTGGTGAGGGGCAGCTCGCCCCCCCGCCCCGGTCTGTCTGCTCCGCGGTGGAGACTCGGTCCCCGCCCCGGCTCTGAGCCGCTGGGCTGCCGTGCCCTGCCCCCGCCCTGCCGTCCTTGGCGCTGGGGCTCGGAGGAGGGCAGGGGCCGGCCCCGCCCCTGTTCCCGTGGCAACACGGGGTCTGGCACTGATAAGGAGGGTGGGGTGTTGCTATGGGAGATAAGGAAGCCTCAGAGGAGGGGAGGGAGGAGGGGGTGGGGGCGGAGGAGGTGGCGGAGGGCGGGGGAAGCAAAGGAATGTGAGTGGGAGGGGGAGTGGGGGGTGGAACGGCCAGCGCCGGTGGAAGCACATGGCCGCCGCCATTATCTGGCCGCGTGTGGTCTAGAGACGCCGCACTGCTCTTTAAGACAAACTCCGGGCTACATTT